AACCCCAGATTGTTTCCTTCCCGCCTTCCTGACAGGATTAGCCCTGTAGTTTCTCCTAACAACCGGTTCTCTGAACGGCTTAGAAGGTTTACAACCGGTTCTTGTGCATAGGGTGCAAACCGGTAGAATCCCCTCCCCCCGGTGCTAACACTACCCCTGATTTTGACGCCAGGCCTCGGTTTATGCCACCGAGGAGTGGGTGTGTATGTTTACTCGTGGACCGGGCTGGACTCCCACAGTGCCTTTCGAAGGGGAGGGGGATCGAAGTTCTCCGCCTTTCCTCGTTGGGGTCGTTGCTTACAAGGGGGTGTACAAACGAGCCTTTTTCCTCAACCAAACAAGAGGGCCACCTGGCGGACTCTCTAGGAGGAAGAGGAGGAGTTGGCAACTACGGCAAGAGGGGAGGGTGTCTGTCGATCCCAACGGTTGGCCACCGGCTGGCTCTGGAGCCGCATGGGGCTCTTGCCCGTCGGCAACCACGATGGATCGGATGTCAGTTGGGAGACGTGGAGGAAAAAGGTACTTCCGGTCAGTGGAGGAAAAGGGAGGCCGCGCTAAGAGGAGACTCTATGGTGGTGGGGGGACTGGACTTCCAGGTCGGTGGGGGGAAAGGGACGCCGCGCTAGGAGGAGACTCTATGGTGGGGGCAATGGCCTTCCGGTCGGTAGGGGAAAAGGGACGCAGCGGTAGGAGGAGACTCTATGGTGGGGAGGACTGGACTTCCGGTCCGCTCTAGAATTGAACGAGGGGGGTTTTCCGGTTAGGATCTTTGGTTGTCTCACCCCAAAAAATTTTATTGCGTGATTTGTCGATTTCTGATACAATCGCCCCGCGATCAACTCCTACCCACCTACTTTGATTTCCCGCCACCCTAAAGAAAGACTTCCCTTCCGTCCCCCGCCAAGATCGCTCATTACGACTGCCGCAACGTTGCGACCACCGCAGCATCCGACACATCCACCCCTTCCGCCAGACACGGGCGGGGCGCGTTTCGTCCCCGCTTCCTTTGGCGACCTTCCTCACCGCCCTTTGGCCTCAGGGCATCCCGGCGGTCATTCCCACGAGGGACACGGTCGTGTAAGGGAGCCTCGGCCTTCCCCCCCCGAAAGGCATCGGGTGAAAAAACCCTCCGGGGGGGGGAACGCTGCGCGCCCATCATTCAACCCGAGTCGGCGTTGAATCCAAGAGCCGCCCGGAATTCCGACTGAGTCAAAACCCAGGGCAGGGAGGCGGGCCCAAAAGGAAACGGGTGGAAAACGTGGAGGCCTCGCTCGCCTTTTTCTTCCGGCCCGTCGCAATTTGGCCCACTCCAACAGACGGTCGTCGATCGAGGACGAGCTGTTGTCGCCATTTTTTTTTTGTCGTTGAGCCGTCGGAAATCTTGTCCGGAGGACCAAAAGAGAGAGAGAGAGAGAGAGAGAGAGACCGTATTTTTTTGTCCACGGCGCGTGGTTCTGCTCCTTCCTTCCTCGGGACGTGGTCTTCCTCGATGGCCGATGGAGCTCTGGGCCGGAAGGAGACACCCCTCCCCCTCCACCGACGGAAGGGCGTCTCCCTCGATTAGTGACCTGCATGGGTGGACACAAAGAGAGGGTGCGAGTCAAAGAGGGGAACGTAGTGGTGAGGGAAAGATGGATGCCAAGGATTTATTTATTCGTTTTCTTTTCTTTCTCTCTCTCTCTCTCTCTTTCCTCCTTCCCCTCCTTGTTTTTCTTTTTCGTTCCTTCTTTTTCCTTCCCTTCTTTCTTTCCGTTCCCTTCCTTCCTTCCTGATTCTTTCCTCCTCTGTCCTTTCTCCCTTCCTCCCCTCCTGTCTTCTTTTTCTTCTCTTTCCTTTTTCTTCTGGCCCCCTCCCTCCATTCTTCCTTTCTCCTCCTTCCTTCTTTCTTTCCTCCCTCCCTCCCTCCCTTCCTCCTTCCTTCCTTCCTTTCTTCCTTCCTTCCTTCCTTCCTTCCTTCCTTCCTTCCTTCCTTCCTT